CACACCCTAGTTTCCAGACTGACATTGTGGCTCTTTAGTAATCTGGAGAGGTCCCCGACAGCAGACTTTCCCAATGCAATTCATCTTTTGATTTCCTGGCTGTTGATACCATGAGCATATATGTATAGATACATGTACACATAAGATTTTACTCTTCAGCTTAGAGTAAAATCTCACGTGTGGACACACACACACACACACACACACATTGACTGAGATTCTAAAGAGTACATCAGGTTCCATAAAGGCCTTTTGGCTTAAGTAAGGCTAAGAGTCACTGCCCCAGAGAAAAAAAACTGACTCTTGAACATACTTAATCCTATTAAGGATTTCCATATCGATACACAGAAGAAAATAGGAGCAGGAGAGACCAGGCTATATTGAAAGGAGAAATACTTTCCAAGGTCACATAACATAGGAATCACCTTGAATTTATTTTGGAATAAAATAGCCTGATAAGCCAGTAGTTGAAAATATGTGAAAGATAAAACAAATGAGCCCTGTAGCTCTAGTAGGGACCTAAGAGGTTTTCTGGAGTGATTTTCTTATTTTGAATTGAACTATTTTCTAAAATGAGGCAAATAATTCCTTTTTCTACTCCTTATTTATAGTTTATAGTAACAGTTTTAGGTCTTAATCATAAAGCACTTTGAACAAAGTATTAATAATAAAATTGGTCTTCCTGCTGAAATTAACCTTTCATTTGTTCATTTTTCTGAATTAATCTGGGTTTGCAACTCTAAAGCAGCTACTTTAGAACAGACTCTAGGAAGGTAGATGCAGTTGGATTAATCTATTGTTGAACTGGAGAGGTCTCCCAGGGATGAAGTGGCATCCCTCTAAAAAAGTTCAATGCCACAGTAACACACAGTCACAAGCACTGGGCAAAGTCTCTAATAGTGACATCTGCAGGCTTGGGTTTTGGGAATGTTTTGTTATATGATAAAGCAAGAGGGGGAGAGAGAGAGAGAGAGAGAGAGAGAGAGAGAGAGAGAGAGAGAGAGAGAGTAACCAGTAGTCTGTGCCAAAAAAATAATTATCGAAATGAGCCCTGCAATATAACATAGCTTGCTGCCCCTTCCTTTTGTAGATTAGCTGAGCCTGCATTCGGTTCACTCTGAAATAAAGGACTTTCAATTTGTCAAGCAACAGTTCCCATCTGGCTGATTCTCTTGCCAAGTCCCAAACCTAGGATCGTGTGTCTAAAATTTCAGCAGCGACTTGAACCATGTGTCTTTGCTCTAGAAAAGAAAAGCAATTATTTTCATGGGCGACCAGATGATTTCCATATCATCCATAGAACACATACGATCTACTTAGCTCCACATAAAAGCAACCCTTAGCCACACTGCAATATAGGCACTGCAGATAAATATACTGCACATAGATACTTTAAGGATTTTCTAAAACAAAATATCATAGAGCAATGCGTTATCTACACAAAGACCTGCCTGGGCCCTTGTTCTGATTTTACATCTGCTCTCACTGATTTTATGTCTTTTAGGGAAGAATCTTCATTTTTCTGAGCTTTAGCTTCTCTGCACAGAAAAAGTTAATGTGGTTTCCAATAGCTTCCCCAATCCTATTCCTCTGTTGACTTTCTGGGCAGAGATTTGTTGTTAAGATTAGGAAATGAGGTCTGGGGGTTGACTGTATTTTCTTAGCTCTGGCTATGCCAGTCTGAAGCTCTGCAGCCGAACTCGAAGGTTCTATGCTGGGAAGCAACTCAAAAGTGGCAGCTGGCCATCCAGACCGTGGCTATTCCGTTTGGCTGGAGTTTGTTTGCTTAGCACCTTCCATTTCTGTTTACTTAAAACTTGGCTCACTGGACCAGCCTCAAGAGAGACACCTTTTTCTTTTTACAAAGGTCCAGTGAGAGGGAAAGGGTCATGTAAAGGTAGCCCAACCTGCAGCCTCCCCCCCACCAGGCTAAGAGGGCATGATGCAGAACACTCAACACCAACATACCACAGGGAACAGTCGTGGTTTCTTTCTCCCCAAAGCCAAGTCGTGGTTGAAAAACATCAACAATTTAGCCTTTTGCGGACTGGTCTTTGCTAACGCGTTGCATTAGGAACTACAAGTATAGATTTCTCCTGAAAGGATTCAGTAGGATTCTTTTTCTTCTGCTGCTGTTTGGGGTGATAGGAGTTTTAGGAAATCCTTTTCTTAAGTCATTTTGACACACACACAAAGTAAAAAAATTAGTGGACTGGGGACAATCTATGTTTTGTAAAAGCAACCGTAAGCACACATGCTAAGTCAGGAACATGCCTGCCCTCCACGCAAGCTGGCATCTTCACTTTACGATGCCCCATATTTACATGCTCAAGGACCACTGTAATTGCCTCAAAGTACCTCTGTGGGAACAGACTTTATTAATGCTGCTTTTAAACATTGATACATATCACCCAGCTACTCATGGTGTCTTCAGTAAAGTCTGTTGTTGTTTTTAGGTGCCATTATTTGAGTATAATCCATACTGATATTATGAGCAACAGGTGTGAACTCTGTCCTATCCTGTGCCATCCTTACACTTCCTGACACACTAGAGCCCACTGTGGCAGTCACTGTGTCAATCACTGTGGTTGAACGTTATCAAAGGCAGTGGTTTTCAAATGTGAGTGACTTTGCCCCCGACAAACATGTGACAATGTCCTTTTGGTTGCCACACTTGGGTGGGAGCTTTCTCCTGGCATCTAGTATATAGGGCCCAAGGATGTTATTAAGCTTCCTGCAAAGGTCAGGATAGCCTCTTACAGTACAGAATTACTGGGACTCAGGAGCCTAGAGGTTCAGTAGTAAGTGCACAACAGCTATGCAAAAATTGGTAGTTCAAAACTATCTAGTGGCTTCACAAATTAAAGACCTAATGATCTGCTTCCCTAAGATCTGCTGCCTGGGGAACCCAAATGGAGTAGGCCCCCTCTGCATAAAAAACTGACTGGATGACATCCAACAAAAGCAACAGCGCACAGTGCCAAGACTGAGAAAGCTGAAAGGTGGGTAGACCTTCACACCTTCGCAACCCTTCTGCAGCCCACTTCTGAAAACTGGCAGCCAATGCCAGGCGTTCTCAAACCTCTGTTACTGCAGAACCACCACTAACATGCTTGCCAGGCCCACATACACCCCAACCAATATTTACTTAACATGTTTGCTCAAATTAACTCAACTTTAAAAAGTTATTTTTTCTTTCTCCTTACTAAGAAAAAACATGCAATTTTGAGTTTGATGCCCCTTATCATAATTTTCAATACATATAGAAATAAAAACACATCTATTAACATTAAAAATGCTTACCCATGTCCCACCTAAAAGCTTTGCACAAACTACAGCTTCTCACATACTACAGCTTCTCACATCCTACAGCTTCTTACTGTCTGTGCCAGATTCTAGAATGATAAGCTTTGGGGCTGGGATAGCTTTAAGGATTTTTGAACCTAGTCATCCCTCTGTGGCTTGAATACCTTCAATTATATCTTTGCACCTTCTTTGCACCTTGTTCTTGGTTTCTCTGGTGGTGGGAACCCACTCATTTATTCAAGAAATGGTTACTTGGCATAGACACTCAGGGACTCACCGTGACAGGCACTATGGGGCTAGAGATGGTGGTGGGGCCTGCAATCCTCGATTTCTTTCTGGGTGGGGGTGCTTGCTAAAAGGAAGAACTATTATTTTACTCCTATATGCTACCTGTGTTTCCCAGTTACTTAATTACATTTATCACATGAAGAATGATGCATTTGGGGAAAAACAGGCTATAATAAAGATACGGAGCTCAGCTCATGTATAACCCAATCTTTCTGTATTCTTTCAGTGTGCTCAATGAGCATCCCAAGACCCTCTCCACTTTGCGGAATTGACTACGCAAAGGATTTGAGGCATGACATTCTAAAGATTCCTTTATAAGAACACAGAGAGAACCAGCTAGGGCAGAGGGTCAAGGAGACCTGTAAACTATACAGATACAATTCTCCCTGCAGTGACAAATCTTTGTCCCTGAACCTTTCACTCTGTGCCATTCTCTCCCAGCAGCACTGAACTGCTATCCCTGAAGTGTTTTGTCACATCTTGATTTAGTTGCTAGACCAACTGTCATGAATGGCATTATTTGTAGGATATAAAATCTGCTGGTGCCCTTCTTCAAGTAGCCACAAAGTGGTCTTGTTATATACAAAATGTCTTCAGTAAATTGCTCAAATAAAGCAAAAGTCATGGTATTTCAAATCAAGCTGACTATAACATGTCGAACATGACTTCTAGGTTGTTCTGCTCCCCACCACCCCAGAGAAAAATACTACTTCTATTTCCCTTCCTGAAATAAAGTGGCTTATTGATGAGGAACCAACTCAAAGTGGTAGGGTGCTGCCAACCCAAAGGCAACAGGGTCGAATCCACCAGCTGCTCTGTGGGAGAAAGATGAGCAGTCTCCTCGCATGTGATTCACAGCCTCTCAAAACCCACTGGAGGGCCAACTAGGAATCTGTTTCAACTTGACCATACACAGTAACAACAAACTACCAACACAACAACAACACTACAAATCAAAGCAACCTTCTCAGTGACTAGAAGCAGCTGCCTTGCAGTTGAGGATTTATGATACACAAGGCGCTATGCTCACCACTTTGCAGACATGAGTTCATTTATTCCTCCCAATAAGTCTATGAAGTTATTATTCCCATTTTGTAGAGAAGGAAACTGAGAACTGGAGAGGGTCAACACAATAAATAATTGCTCAACCGAGGTGTCAAGGAAAGCCTGGGGGTGGGGGATAGTCCTTCCCCTCCTCAGAGCCTTGTAGGAAGATGACTCTAAAATGGCATGGTTTGTTTTCATTTTGCGGAGTGTCCCAGAGCTAATAAAGCGTGAGGAACTCCTGCAGTGAGTCTGCGGGCAAACGTGGCCTACTCTCGGGTAGGTCAACAAATGCCTGTGGGGACAGGAAATGCCAACTGGACACAGGGCCTTTGAGTCGGGGGGGAGCCACCGGCCTGCACCTGAAGCTGCATGTTTGTCTGGGTGAGTTCTTCTGCCTTCTTTTCCAGTGACATCACCCAGACCTTCCTCTTCTGTCTGCAACGGGTGGCAGCTGCCCGGTTCCGTTCCAGAAATTTCCTCCGGCGCTCATCGGGGTCCTCGTCCACCACCCTCCGCCGGCGTCCCCCTGTGGGCTGCGGCGGCTGTATCGTCTGGGTCGGCTGCATCTGTTGTGTTGCTGGTGATACCTGAGGGAGGGGTGGGGAGGACAGGGAAGGGAGACGTGGGGCAAGGGGTGAAACCAAAGCCAGTGTTAAAACGCGAAATACACGGAGTCAACTGCTTTAGTAAATGGGTCACACAGATCTCCTAAGAATAAAGTAAATAAAGAAATCATGATTATGGAAAAGAAAATAATTTAAAAAAGTATCCTTAAGCTGTAGTCTTATATTATTGGGTCATTATGAGTTGGAATGGAATGGATGGCAGTAGAATATTATTATTTAGCTATCTTCTGCGATATTTTGGCAAGAGATAGGAGGAACTTGTGAAAACATTTAGCCAGATAACATTCAGATCGTTCCTTGACAGGCATTTGGCCTCATCTTGGCAGAGGAGACCTATTTTTTCTCCTTGGGATATGAAAATGTTTTCCTTTCTAGTGCATTTAATACTCAAGCAGCCCAAGTCCAGGCGAGGGTGGACACAGCCAGCACAGCTGTCACTGTATCTGTCAGGTGAAATCTTCTGCTGGGCTGGCTGCTGCGTTTCCTCCCTTCTAAGCATGTTACAACCACGTCCCTAAAACACTCAGTTGGCTCTAAGACACTGTTGCTACTATGACTCCTATCAAGACATCTGAAGTCACCCTAACTTCACCACTGCACAGGCTCTGATGCAGAGGACTACCTCAACCTGCACTCTGCAGCCAGACAAGCCTGTTTCTGGTAGTGTTGGCTGACAGGACATTCCTGGAGCCCAGAGTTGACTGGAAACATGCAATCAAACCCCCCTTGCCCACTATGTGTGTGAGAGAGTCAGGGATGGCTATGCCTCCCATATACTTCCATTATAAGGAAATGCTAGGAGTGGCAAAGCACTTTATTAACAATTTTTACTATGCTTACAGATTGCTTGTAAGGTCTGCATAGGGCTCAGTGCCATCGAAAGTTTGGAGACCCCTATACGAAAAGCTTTATTTTCCTCCACAAGTCAGACACACAGCACCTTGTGAAATTTCTACGACTGACTCTTTATATGTCTGGACACCTAAGGCTTTGCTTCACGCACCTCACTTCTCCTGCCTTCTTCATTTTCAATAAAGGGGGTCTTTCCCCATTTCTTAGTCACTCAGGTTTATAGGTTTAATACCCATAAAATTGTTTTACAGGAGACATTTAACCTGCAGAAATAACAGGTAAAAAAAATGTAAAGCTGAAGCCCAATGACCTTTTCTGCTACAGTCCAGGCCTGTGATTGAAATCAATCAGGATGACTGTAATTGCACTAAGAATGGCTACTGGCTGACATCAATTGACTGGTGATGATACATTTTAATTCTAAACTCCATCAAACCTGATCTGACTGACTGTAAAAGAATTAGATCAGGGCTGAAGTTGGACTGCCTCACTGTAATTTTATTTAAAGCAAAGACATTTTCTAAAAGGGATGTGTTGGCGAGTCCCGTCTTCCCGATCACAGAGGAGTAACAAAATAAAATTGTCTAGGGTCTTGCTCACCTGAGTGGCTGGGAAAGATTTAGCACTTGTCATTTCAGAAGCTAACCTCTGAGCTAACTACTCCAAAGCAAAGCATTGGAAGGGAATGGACTAAAGACAGGGTTAATTTTGCTTTTACAAGTTCTTTTTTGTTAAAGAGTGATCTCTTATTGTCAGATCTAGACAAGACTTTCAAGTAGGCAAAACTAGATTCTAGTAACTCTATCTTGGATTCTTCTGTTCTTACTTCACTTTATCCCCTGACATCCTGTGTCTTCATCCAGAGGGAGAAGAATTGCGGACTGGTTAAGAAATAAATTCCTATTAACCGTGAACTGATATTGGTCCTTTAACATTACATTCTTGAATGTATCTGATCTGTATTACCAGCAGGAGAAATTTCAAATTAAACCTTAAGATCTGATTCTGTGCCTGGTTAAATGTTGTTATACTGATTATAGAATTCTACTCAGAGATCCTCTGACATTCTGATTGAATGGATGAATTGGGATTTCAAAAAGGTGGCATGTATTCTAAATTACCTTAGAAGTTGGGAAGACTTATAGAAACCACTATACCTGCTACTCTAATAAAAATGCAATTAGCAACAGAAGATCTTAGCCATTTTAATATCATAGAAGGGTAGTATTTTGGAATACTGTCTAAATGATTCTGCTCATCAACTTGAACTATTTAGTATAGGAATAAAAATAAAGACCCTTTCATGCAACGAATTATAATAGCAATTAACTAATTGCATAGACAATTGGTCATTTACTGCCTTGAAACAGGGTAATTAGTTAATTGGTAATTAGCTAATGAATAGCTTTTATAGTTAAAGAACTGTTAAACTTATTTGTGAAATACCTTGTGACAAAGGCAGTCAAAACTTTATTTTCCTTAAAAATAACTTTATATTTGAATCTGTTAGCCTAACTTTGAGGTTGTAGGGTTTTTTGCTCCCTTCTAAAAGCACATCTTTATATGGTATGTGACTAAATTGTGGCTAACATGATGCTCTGGACAGCATTTTATTTCTAATTTACTAAACTTCCATCATAGCTTGGAACTAATCGTGATTCATACATTGACAACAGAGCTGAGGATGTATTAGAGACACTTATGTTTAATACCATTTAGAGCTTACACATACATTCTAATACTATCTTTATTTGTAGATGGGAAAACTGAGGCTTGGGGTCCCTGAAAGTCAGCTGGAAAAGAAATGAAAGGCTTTCTCATTCTACAGCTTATCCACTACATACAACACTTGGAAGGATCTTTGCAAAAGCAAGCTTTCTGATGATTAAGTGGCTAGTGGATGGCTCCCTAGGTTTGGTGTTTGCATTCTGGAGGGGAGTTAAAGAGTTCAATCACTGCCAGGTTGCTAAGTCTTGTCTTTCAAGGCAGAGGACAGAGGTGGTGAATAAGTGTTATTTGGCAGTCCCTGGGTTCTGACGCCATTCTGACCAACTCCTGCTGGTTGGAAGTGGGGAGTATACAACTGTGGAATGGCTGGAGGTCACTGTGCTGGAGGGTCCAGTGTCTGGGGCAAGCCCTGCTCCCAGCCATGCCCTTCTTTCAATTACTAAAACTCACTTGGGTACTTGGGTTGGGTGACATAATGTCTGCCTGGTCCCCCAACCCTCCTTCCGTTTAGTCTAAACGTCGGCTTTCTTCCTAGCCACTCCTAGTGACTCTCCACCGCTGGGATTTAGCTTTGCTCTTGAACTGATCATCTACAGAGCTTGGCTCTCTCTGCTCCCTCCAACGCATTTCACATTAGGTGGGATGAGTCACCTCTATGCACCATTTACACAGCACCTTTTGCCTAACACCCATTACAAGCCTATTTATCTTGCCTTGAATTGTTACTCTTCAGATTTTCAACATTTACAATTACTCAGATGGTTGCTTATGACAGTGAACTTGCAATTTACAGTCGACAAAACTGAACCTCTGTGATGGTTTAAACTACAATATAAGTAGAATCAGGCTTAGGATAAATTACTTTTTATTCGCTTCTTTCTTCCTAAGCCTAAATTCTCTCAAATCTTCCTACTGATACTCCTCTTTCAGGGCTGACTTTGCAATACAACGCAAAAACAGATTTGGGGAGAATTTGAGGTTCACACCTTCCCTTAAAGACTGAGACTGCTACTTAATGTATTCATTATAGAAAATAATTGTGCTCCTGCACGGTGGCATAGCTAACCACTACCTCCTAGGAAATGAACAGAGTGCCAGGCAGAACACCTGGGCTTGTCAAGCAAGGCTGATGTGAATGCCTCCCCACTTTATAGCCTGCCGTTAACCATAACGGAAAGAGAACATTAAAAAGACCTACCTGTGCTTGGTTGCCGGAATGAAGGGGCGGGTGTGGAGAGGTCTGGTGATGCGCTGGGTGTGCATGAAGGTGGGAATGAGAGTGATGATGGGGGTGATTCTGCTGGTGATGGGCTTGAGGATGAGGATGGTGTGCCGGGTGCTGGTGCTGGTGCGGGTAGGGGTGATGGGGTGGCAGTGTCTGGTGCTGATGCGGGTGTGAGTGCATGTGATGGTGTGGCGTCTGGTCCTGCCGGGAGCCCATCATCTCCATCATGTGTCCCATGGTGCTCATGTTCCCATTTGACATGGCGGCAGGGTGGTGAGTCAATGCGGCCTTCAACCTCTGAAAGAGAGCAAAGCAAGAGAGAACCCCCGAGGTCAGTCACGAACACATCAGGGCTTTTGATGCCTAATGACTCCTATTTCCAATTGTATAGGATTTCAAATGGAATTACTGTTGGCGTTTTTTATGAGAATAAAGATGCTTTTGTATGAATTACAGATTTTCTTTTGTATTGTAGAGGGGAGGAGGGACACTGTCAGGCGTAAGTGTTAATTCAGCTGCCATAGTGAATGAACAAGCGTCAAACCTTGGTGCTGTGCAGTTGAAACTGACTCACAGCTGACCCTGCAGGGGGTTTTCAGAGGTTGTAAATCACATGGAAGTTGACTGCCCATCTTTCTTCCTCAGATTGGCTAGTGGATTCAAACCACCAGCCTTTGGATTAGCAGCACAACTCCCTTTAGACTGTGCTACTGGTGCTCCTTCTATCAAAACATCCTGCTTCTATACATCCTGCTAAAAGGTATTTCCTACTACCCGATTGTTTATTATATCACATTGACAGCTGGCTGTAACTATAAATAAGATAGACTCTTTAATATCACAATGTCTCTAAACTGTATACCTGATGCCCCTCTGATATAGCACAATGTTTTCTAGAATTACAAGCATAAACAAGTTTTTCTTTTACTCAGTGCTTCGAGGACACTGGCCTTCTGTTAAGGGGGATGGGGAAAAAAATCTGTTGAACATGATGAACATAATTAACATGTTTGATACATATACCACAATACAAAATATTTTTACTTAAAGCAGACATAATCTCAAATTTTAGGATGTAGAATGAGTATAAGATTATTTGAAAGTTTCAATTTAGGATTAGTAATCTATCACTTTTACAATTCTTTTCCACTGGTTACTATGGCATTTCTCACAGTCTTCTTGATTCTCGGCTACACAATCATTTTCTTCTGACTTTGTGAGGGATTAAAGTAAAAAAAAGTAGAAAAATACGGATCTTTTAATTGCTTCACCTTTTGTAGTGGGTGAATCACATCAATCGTCCAAACACATTTCTAACACCAAAGTATTATGCATCAGCACACAAATAAAGTTTTCGAAAGCTTGCAGAGTGGAAACCTATCAGAGGAGGAAAACCTCAAATATTTTCCACTAACATGAGTGATGGGAAAGTGGTAAAATGACACCATGTCAAAAGCATAAAACTTTCAAAACTTGGGAAACAATGTAGTCCCAAGGAGTTCCAACTCTCACAGGTTCCTCTGTCACTTCTGTTGGACACTACAGCTGGCATTGGCAAGACTTCCTACTAAGAGACAGATCAGAAATACTTTTATTTGTTGCGTGTCTTTCAGTGACTGTCACTCCAGGATCAAATCTGCCACCGAAGCCTCATAGCAGCCACGGACGATGAGTAGATGAAAACCGTGCCATGTTCCACCACAATTTTATTTTAAGGCCATTTGCCACAGAGTCCGTTCCGATCCTTGACAAACTCTTTGTATGCCAGAATATAACTTTGCTGCATGGGGTTTTAATGGCCAATGTGTTGGGTAAAATGTTGCCAGGCCTTTTTTCTGAGGTGCCTCTCATAAACTTGAGCCTCCTAAGCTTTGCACTATTTGGGGACCACTGCAATCAGCATATTTGTGTTCCTATCTACCTGATCAGTGACAGTGATGTGTAATGATAGGAGTAAAGAGAGGTATTTATATCATAACCTAAGCAACTGTGTTCTACTCCTGCAAAATTAATGGTTCTTAACTGGTTAGAATGAAATATTGATAAATAATTACATATTTAATATACATAAGACAAAAAAATGAAATAATATAACACATTCTAATATATAATTAAATAAAATAATTAATTAAATATTGATAAAATTCAATTACTAAAAACCTATGTTGTTGTTGTTGTTATTTGCTGTCAATTTCGAAGTGACCCACAGCTGACCCTCCAGTAGGTTTTCAGAGGCGGTTAACTGCAGAAGAGGATATCACCCATCTTCCTCCTATAGCACAGCTGGTGGATTCGTACTGTGCACATTTGGATGAAAGAGCAACTTTTACCACTAAGCCACCAGTGCTTCCTATTCAAAGCCTAAAGTTAAATATAAAGCGTCTCCACTTGTAAAAGCAATAGAGAGGGTGATGAGCAGACAGCTGCTAATGAATAATCGTTTAAAACCTTTCCTACATCCTGACTGGGAAACCACTTAGCTCTTCAGCAGCTACTGGTCTTTTCACTGATGATCCTGAAAAGCGCTTCCTGAGTCCCTGGGAAAGACTGGATGTTAAGTATTGTGTTTACTACTAAACAGAAAGGTGAGCTAACATACCCCATCTCCCATTTCAGAAATGACTTCATTGTTTTGTAAAATTGCTCAGTATAAAAAATTTAAGCAATGCTTAAAAGCACAAAGAAGACAGCAATAATTGAGCCAACTATGTTATTTACACTTGATGGGAGGACAGCATTTCAGGAGACAGCCCATGTAGATGGGAAGATGGAAGGACGCACATGCATCTTATTATCATGGCTTCTTGGAAGATATGCCATCTAGTAAGGCTTTATTTGAATATAACAGAAGCAAATGAAGTGGAAATGGAAGGAATACCTGGATTTTAGAATATGTGTTTCTTTACCCTGAGAAAATATTTCTAGAAAAAGATGTATCTGGTGCTGTAATCCCAAAAGACATGAGGTTCGAGGCCACCAGCTGCTCTGTAGGAGAAGGATGGGCAATCTACTCCCGTGTGATTAACTGCCTCTGAACAACCCACCTGAGGGTCAGCTATGAGTCGGTTCTAACACACAACAGTAACAACCTCCAAAGGGAGAAAAGATTATGCTGAAATCTGTGATTTTTCAATCAGCATATGAGATGGTATCGCTAATTAATCTTTGACTTTGTAAATTAATCTTTGGAATTTCATTTTATATAAAAGTAAGATAGCTTCATGATAAAACCAATTCTAACAACTACAAGAGTCTTAGGTGAAAATATAAAAGTTCCTTATCTGCCTTTCCCTTCCTCTAATCTCAGTCTCATTCCTAAGATATCACCACCATTGAGATTTTCTCCGATTTTCTCTTAGCACTTAAAGGAATATATTTGCTCAAGTCCTTTGAATGAGAAGTAGTTTGTATCTTATTTTTGTGTTGTTTGAACAATTGCTTAGAAACATTCTTGTATAATAACCAGGATACCCTCTGTGTGTCAGTCCCATGTATTTTACAAATCCTCCCTCTGATGGGTTCGTCTGTAGGAAGTTGTGCTGCCAACCCAAAGATGGCAGCTCTCTGGTGGTTCGAAGCCACCAGCATCTTTGAGTGAGAAAAATGGGCATCCTCCTTTCACATGATTTACAGCTTTGGGAAATGTGCTGAAGGGTCAGCTATGAAGTGCTTTCAACTGGACAGCAATGAGTTTGAAGACTTCTTAAAACATTTTGAACCCTCATAATCCTCAGAAAGCTCTAAGAGCTAAGAGGGGAGGGAAAGAACTTGCCCTGGTGCAGAACTTTAGTGAAGGGTAGAAGCAGGGTCCAAGGGCAGGTGAGTTGCCTCCAGAGTCTGCTAAACTACAATCCTGCATGAGCAGGAAAGAAGATTCAGGAAGACGTGTCATTTACACGTAGCCAAAAGCAGAAATGAACTGTATTCATGTCACATCTCTTCATACAAAGAAAAGGCAAATAGTTCAAGAAGAAAAACTAGAAAGTTGACAAGAAGTGACCCTGTACAGTACAACAGCTGTCTCTCTTTGTGTCTGTCTGTCTCTCTCCATCTCCCTGTGTGTGTGTGTGTGTGTGTGTGTGTGTGTGTGTTTGTATTGTGTTTTATTCTGCACACACCTGGAAATGCTGATGATAGACCCCTTCTGAAACTTGATGAAAGGAATACTGGATGTTAAGAACTGCCAGGAAGCTCCATTGATACATCCTTTTCCCACCAAAACACATGTTGGATAAGCTCAACATAACTCTCTCTCTCTCTTCCTACTTTCTCGTTCTTGAGAAAGATCCTTCAGTAAAGTGAAGAGGCATATGGAAAATGGACTATAAGCTCACGTCTCTATACACCTACAAGTTGTTAGTGAGAACAACAAAAGTCTAACTAATTAAAACAAAACAAAACTTTCACTATCTTTATGACGCTCAGGAGAATGAAGGTCAAAGCCTTTTGAATGTCCTGCAGGTACCCCTTCAAGGAAGTGGCCCTGTTCCCCTCAGCCCTCACTGCTCGCTCTCAAGCTGCACAGATGGGTTCTTCCCCTTTTCCCTGCAGAAGTGGGTGTTCTTCTTGGGATGTTCTAGATTCCCCTTCAGCAAAATGGTCCTTAGTCTCTGGCTGACAAATTATTGTTACATGGTCCCAGTAGAATGATAGCCTTTTCATATGGTTCAGTTTGTAGTTATGTGGTGTATATAATGGAAGATTATGAATTTAGTATCTGTTAACTATCCCAGTTTATAAATGGAGGCATCGTGTTGATTTCACTTAAGGTGAAATCCACAACCCTCACACCATGCCTGCAAGCTGACTACAGTTCTTAGCAACTCTATGAAGGGCAGACTGAAGCCTTACCCTGTCCCACACCATCTCCAACAGGTTCCAGCCCCTTGGAGTCCCTGTGCCAATCCATCATGTTGACAAACTTTCCCCCTTTTGCTGACCCTTACTTTCCCTGCCCTTTTCCAAAAACTGGCACATATCAGACTCCAAGTTCTTACTTTTTGGAATGAGAGAACGCACGAATGAAGACTTTCTGAGGCTTATGCTTTCATCTTGGGTCACTCTAGGTGGCATTAATATGAAGGATGTGTTTATTTCATAAACAAAGCTAACAGAGTCAACCGCAGGGGATCATATTGTGCAGACAGGGCTGTTAAAGTATGGTCCACAGAATCCCTCCTCCACACCCTGCCTATCTGAGGGAAAAGGTAATATATATAGAGAAAAAGAAAACACAAGTAAGATGAATGCGTACTCATTTCATCCTGATGTATTTTCCCTGAAGATGTGGTATGGAA